GACGTGCAGGCGCTGGCCGCGGCGCAGGCGAGGGCCCTCCGTCGGCAGCTCGCTCTTGGGCAGTGATGGCGGCCGCCTGCGTGCCGGGCATCTTCTTCCTCACGCGGTACAGCGTGGGCGGCGTCGCGGTGTACCACGAGAGGCTGCTCCTGTTCGCCACGGGGTACGTGCTGACGCCGGACGTGGACGACTACGGCGAGAGCGTGACGCCGGACGCGGACATCCGCAGCGTCCACCAGATCGCCCGGCAGGGCGGGCGCGTGGGCGGGATCGTGGAGGCCCAGACGCACCGCTTCCGCCAGCTGCCGACGCAGGCGGAGCTGTGGGCGGCACTGCGGCGCGGAGCCGCCGCAGGCTTCGGAGGGCTTCCGTCGTCTCCGTTCGAGCTCGACCTCTCGGCCGCCAACTGTGGGGGGCAGCTGGCAGGGCCGATGCAGGTCGCCGACCCGCTCGCGGCCCTAGCCCCCGCGCCCCCGGCGGGCGGTGCTCTGGTCGGCAGCTGTGCCGCCAGGAACCGATCGCCAACTTCGCAGTACCAGGTCCGCGCACGGCTGCTTGGTGTGCCAGGTACCAGGTCGAGGAGGGCGGACCGTCTCTCCACCACGACATGTGGAAAAACCGCAGGAAGCTCACGTCCACGGACTACGGGGTGGACATGCACGAGACCCTCTCACGCATGGTAGAGGCCATGGGAGGGTCGGACCATCTCGACGTCGTCTACTTGGCGAGCGCGGAGATTGGCTACCGCAAGCTCCAGCTGATCGAGCACTACTGGGACGACAGGAGCGCCGAGCAGCAGCACAACAACAGCAATATCCCCTTGGAGGAGAGCCAGGCCTTCATGGGCGGGGCTCGGGCGCCCCCGATGGTGCGCCCGGAGCTGCTCGAGACGGTCTCGAAGGAGTTGGAGCGCATCTCGAGCATCGAGAAGAACGCAAGGGAGCTCAGGGAGGAGCAGGCCGCCGCCGCCAAGGCAAAGGCCGCTTCTCCCAAGGGTTCATGATGCTGGGACCGCCGCCGGGATTGCCTCGGCCCGGCGGCGGAACTTCGGAGAGGTTGGTGGACGGCGACGGACACGTGCAGCGGTCGCATCTGCCTTTGCCAGTCCCTGACTGGTGTGGTGCCCCCGGCGGCCCCTCGCGGGCCCGCTCTGCGCGCCGCCGGCGTGGGCATCGAGCGCAGCAGGGCGAGCTCCTCACCGAGCTCGTGGTGGCGCTCAACCAGCTGGATGCCGGCTCTGACCTCGTTCGCAGACAGTGCGAGGGCGAGCCCAGCAGGATGCAGCAGCTATGCTTGGAGCGACTCGCCGAGAGCTGCGCGGCGATGGGCGCTCCGCCTTCTGACTTGTCGACCGAGGTGGCCCTGCGGGAGCTCCAGGTCGGCGCCGCCTACGGGGACTGCGACCCCGTCACGGCGGCCCCCTTCGTGTACGACCTCGTCTCCTTGCCGGCTGTAGGTGGCGCCCGGGTGCCGCTGGACCTTCTGCTCGGGAGGGCGGTCCAGATACCGTGCGGAGGTTCATCTCTACCAAGGTGTTGTCAAATCTTGACGCCGCAGAGGCAAAGAGGGACTCGGGTTTTGCACGGCCGTACCTGGATCCAGTTCTTCGTCGGCGCGAGGACTACCTCGCCATCATCCGCCGGATGGGGGAGGCTAACATCTACTACAACTACTACGACTACGACTACTACTACTACTATTACGACCACCACCACCGCCACTATTACTTTTACTACTACTACTACTACTACTACTACTACTACTACTACTACTACTACTACTACCACCACTACTACTACTACTACTACTACTACTACTACTACTACTACTACTACTACTACTACTACTACTACTACTACCGAGCCTGGAGTCCAGCATATGCTGGACTTCAGGCTCGACGGCGACTGCTTCGAAGAGGTCGGGCTTTTCGCAGTTTGGAAGACGGGCTGTCGCCAACGCCTGGTGATCGACTGCAGGGGATTTAATTTGCATTTTGCAGAGCCCAACAAGACCGGCCTCGCCAGTGGGGCCAGCTTCAGTGCCATAGAGCTGCAGGAGGGCGAGCAGTTGTGGACCGGAGGCGTGGACATTGCCGATGCGTTCTACAACATGGGCTTGCCGAGTGATCTACGACGATACTTTGCTCTTCCTCGGTTGCGTGGTGGCGACCTCGGATTCAGGAGCGTCGAGGGCCAGTCCGTTCTGAGCCGAGCCTGGGCCCGCCCGTGCTTGGCGGTCTTGCCGATGGGCTGGTCGCACGCGCTCGACTTCTGCCAGAGGGTGCACTGGGCGATAGTGCTGGAGAAGGGGGCCTCTCTGGGACAGCTGAGATCGTCGACGGGCGTCCACCTGCGGATGTGAGTGAGGGGGCTTTCACGGCCTACGTGGACAACTTCGTCGCCTTCGGGACGGGGCCCGAGAGGCCTGCCGATGTGCTGGACGCGGCTCGGAAAGCCCTGGAAGGTGCGGGGCTCCCGGTGCACCCGACCGAGCCCCCCGCCACCGTCTCGGAGCAGTTGGGCTGGGCTTTCGACGGGGAGCGAGGGGCCATGCGCCCCAAGAATCGCCGTGTCTGGAGATTGAGGCTGGGGCTTCTGGAACTCTTGAAGAAGGGGTGCGCCACGGGCCGCCAAGTCGGCAAGGTCGCTGGACACTATGCCTTCATCACGCTCGCTCAGAGGCCTATGCTTTCTGTCTTCAACGCTGTCTACAGTTTCTCCCGGAAGTAATTCTCGCGAGTCATGAAACTCCCGCCATCGGTTCGACGTGGACTTCAATGGGCTGCTGCTCTCCTTCCTCTTGCCTGGTCTGATCTTCGTGCGCCCCGGGGCTCCAAGGTGTATGCGAGCGACGCGAGCGAGGAGGGGGGGGGGTCTGCCAGAAGGAGGCCGACGTCGAAATCATCAGGGCTGCGGGTCGTGACGAGGAGAGGTGGAGGTTTCGTCATCCTGGTGCGTCTCGGCCTCGTGACTGTCTCGATGGGCCCGGGGGCCCCGTGGAAGAGCCGGAGATCGTGGAGGGCGAGAGGTGGAAGGTGCATGAGGTAACGAGCGAGCTGTACGGGGGCAGGTGGCAGGTGGTATCAAGTGGAGGATGGGCCCAGGCCGAGAACATCATCGTCCTGGAGAGTCGGGCCATCGTTCGCTCGCTTCGTCACGCCCTTCGAGATTCGAAATCCTTTGGTCGGCGTCTTCTTTCCTGTCCGACAACATGGGGCTCGTGTGTGGATTGCAGAAGGGGCGCTCCTCCGCCGGGGGGGTCCTTCGCATCGCGCGGCAATGGGCTGCCTGGTGCCTGGCGGCCGGCCTCTGTTCGCTGGATCCCGTCCGAGCGTAACGTCGCGGATGCGTCGTCGCGCCGCCGCGCCCCCCTCGGCGCGTGGCTGGGCGGGCCCGAGGGCGGTGCTGAGCCAGACCTCGCCTGCTGGGGCGTCAGGGGCGGGAGCCGCCGCAGCCAGCTCGCCGACTGTGTGGCGGCGGGGGCAGAGCTCGACGAGCTGGCAGCCCGCGGCGCCGCCACCAGCCCCCTCCGGGGCGCCCGGCGCGCCCCGAAGGCTGCGGGGCAAGCGGCCTGCCGACGGGGGCGCTCCGCCTCCGTCGACGGGGCGCCGGCCTCGCCGCGTCGGAGCGGCTGCGGCCGCGGCGCGGCGCCAGGCCCGCGCGGTGCCGGCGCGGAAGGCTGCCCGCGCGGCGCGCCGGCAGGCGCGGGCTGCGCCCCTGGTCCCGGGGGCGACCTTGCTGCGGGGCGCCTCGGTGACACGCTGTCGCAGGACATCCTCCGGGCGTGGCTGGTGACTGCACGCGTGGTGGGCGCCGCCCGAGTGCCGAGCGACGACGACATGGGCGGCCTCCTCGCAAGCTGGATGGACCGCGAGTTCCTCGCCGGCGAGCTCTCGCAGCGCGGGGCCAAGGCGATGGCCGCGGTGAAGTTCTTCCGGCCGCAGTTCAGCCGCGCGGGCTACCGGTCGCTGCCGAAGGCAGCGCAGGCCTTGAAGGGGTGGAGCCTCGCCCCGGGGCGGGTGCGGCTCCCGCTCCCCTGGGAGGTCGTGTCGCTGATCGCGCTGGAGCTGGTCGCCGCGGGCTTCTGGGCGATGGGCGCCTATGTGGTCATCGCTTTCCACTGCTACCTCCGGCCTGGCGAGCTGGGGCGGGTCACGCCAGAGATGATCATCGCGCCCGCGCCGGGCACGCTCGTCTCCAGCTGGGCCATCGTTCTGCGCCCGTCCGAGGAGGAGGTGAGCAGCAAGACGAGGGAGTTCGACGAGACCGTGGTGTTCGACCTCGTGGAGTTTGGCTTCCTCAACAGCGTGCTCGCCTTCCTCGAGAGAACCACGCCGCCGGGGCAGCCTGTCTTCGGCTTCCTGCACGCGGACCTCGCCCGCAACTTCAGGCTCGCGGCCGCGAGCGCCGGCGTCGACTGCCTCGGCCCAGAGCTGTGCGTGCTGCGGCACAGCGGGCCGAGTCACGACCGAGCGCGGCAGCTGCGGACGCTGCAGGAGATCAAGCTGCGGGGCAGGTGGCACTGCGACTCGAGCGTGCGCAGGTGCCAGAAGGAGGGCCGCGTGGGGGAGCAGCTGCAGAGGCTGCCGGCCGCCATCCGCGCGCGGGCCATCCGCTCGGCGGCGGCCCCCCCGACGGCCCTCGCGAGGCCTTTGCTCGCGCCCTGGCCTCCAGAGGTGACCGCCTCGTCCAGCCGCAGGTGTTTCTAGAGCTGTTCAGTGGGCATGGAGGTCTGTCTCGTGCGCTGCGGGCGCGAGGCTTCTTGGTGCTGGAGTGGGGCCGGGCGCGTGGGCCTCAGTTGGATTTGGCGAAGCAGGCGCGTCAAAAATCGGTGAGGGGCTGGATATTGGCAGGCTCCGTGTGGGGCGTGTTCATGGGCACGCCGTGTCAGACTTGGACCAGGGCCCGGGACACCGGGCCTCTTCGAGATCCTGACAACCCTCGACCTTGCCTGCCATCTCGGCTTCGAAGTGATCAGGAGTCGATGGGCCTGCGTGACCTCAGGCATCCAGACGATCTGGAAGCTGTGAGAATAGGCAACCGGTTGGCCGCTTTCTGCTGTAGCATTCTTGAGCTGATGCACTTTTTTATTCTGCCTGTCGCCATTGAGAATCCTGCCCGCTCTCGTTTGTGGCTCCTTCCTCGCCTTTTGACGGCCAGCGGCTGGCCATCCTCGTCTTTCGTCATTACAGATATGTGTCAGTGGGGAACGCCTTGGAAAAAGCCCACTGGCGTTCTCGGAGATCGAATCGAGCTCACTGATCGTGCGTGTCGATGCCATGGAAAAGTTTGCAGTCGTACAGGGAAGCCTCAAACGTCAATTCACGGGTTAGCGGCCGCGGTAGGCTTCAGGACAAAAGCCGCGGAACGCTACCCGCCTCGTTTCTGCAAAGCACTCGCGGTCGCCTTTGACTGGGCCCACGGGTGCTCCAAGACGGGCCGGCTCTCTCCCTTTTTCACTTCGTGAGGGGCCCGTCTGTAGGCGGCTCGTGGCACTGTTGCATTGCTCTTCCCCCGCAGTAATTGAATTTTGTTTACGAGAGGACCAACTGGAAAGTTTGGCAAGGTTGCGTGTCTTGAGCCTTCGTCTCAGGCTTGATTGTGTCACTGGGTCCGGCGCATCCGGGCCCAGTGTGATTGTGGCCAGAGCCGGCGCTGCCTTGCCTAAGCTCGCTCCGTCTTTGCGGCGCGGAGAAAAACTCGCCTCAGCAGCGGGGGCGGCAGGCGTGGTCCCTACTCCGTTGGTGATTGCCGTACGTCCAGAGTGCAGGAGCCCGCACGGTCGCTGCCATTTAGGCCCTTCAGTTTGCGCTCCCAGTCCCTCCCCCCCTCGCGCGTGTCTTGAGCCCTCGTCTCAGGCTTGATTGTGTCACTGGGTCCGGCGCATCCGGGCCCAGTGTGATTGTGGCCAGAGCCGGTGCTGCCTTGCCTAAGCTCGCTCCGTCCTTGCGGCGCGGAGAAAAACTGGCTTCGGCAGCGGGGGCGGCAGGCCTCCTCCTCCTCCTCCTCCTCCTCCTCCTCCTCCTCCTCCTCCTCCTCCTCCTCCTCCTCCTCCTCCTCCTCCTCCTCCTCCTCCTCCTCCTCCTCCTCCTCCCCTCCCCTCCCCCCCCCCCTTCCCCCTCCCCCTCCCCCCCCCGCGGGCGGAGGTGGAGGGGGGGAGGGGGGGTGGGTGTAGGGTGGGCAGGGGGGAAGAAGGCAGAATTCGGTTTCTGCATTGCAGAGTCCAGTCCAATCGAAGCGGAGCCCTACAGGCAGAAACCGCCGCCGTTTGCCGTACCATCGTGGCCGAGGTGTTGGCTGTGTGCAGAGCACCATTGGGGTGGCACGTGATTGCATGGATGCCCATTTGTCACCTCTTGCCGAATCAGTTGGGTCGAGTTGCGTTCAGTTTGCGATTGCGCGGGTCCTGTGTCAGCATGAGGCTGTCGCAGGTGGGTGAGGACCTGGCGGTGGGAATCATGCGGTCATGCGTTTTGAAATGTGTTGCGAGCGTCCCCATCGGGATGAGAGGCACGAGATGACCAAGGCCGAGGAGTTGCCCGAATTTGAGCCAAAGAAGGTCGCAAGCCTGTATTCGAGGATGTCGGAGCCACCGCTCGCGCCTCTCAGAGATGTTTGCTGCTCTATCGCTCGCCGTCAGCTTTTCCTTTCCTTTCTCTGAGCCTCCGTCCCTCCATGCTGCCCCCGCCGGTGACTCCCTGCGCCGCACCTGACGGAGACGAACCGAGTAATGGCAGCGAGGCAGCGCGGCGACAGCAACTTCCCAAATATGCTTTAGCATAGGGGTTCTGACCTAGCCATGAACAGCTAGTTTTGAAGCTCTGTGCTGGCCTCGCCCTTCACATGGCGTTGTTATTATGGTTGATGGTTTTATTGCTGCAGTTGCTGCTGCTGTTGCTGTTGTTGAAGATGATGGTGATGCTGATGGTGATGATGATGATGATGATGGTGGTGGTGGTGGTGATCATGATGATGATGGTGATGATGATGATGATGATGATGATGATGATGATGATGATGATGATGGTGTCGTTGGTTTTGTTTCCTAAACAGCCTGGGCCAATATCCCGGCTGCTTCAACTTCCGATGAGTAAGTGAAGCCCTGTCTTCGTTCTCCCGGATACTGCCAATCCAGTAGTGCGATGTGTGGTGGGGTCGGGGCATTCGGGGTGTCCCCAGTCGAGGACCGACGTCTTGAAGGCCATCTCCGAGTTCTTCAATGACGTGCTTCCGCGAATGGATTACGAGGAGGATGGCCACGCTTCGTCCTACCCGTATCGAGTCCTCACTTTGCAGGCGGATAGCGCTTCTTCCGCTCGGTGCGCCCGTACCCCTTCCGATGCCACCGCTCGTTGTGGCCTTCTTTTCTCCCGTGCCCCTTTGGCCGCGGCTTTTGCCCTCCTCTTTCTCGTCTCTTCGCCTCCCCCCCTCCCCTCCCCTCCCCCCTCTCCCACCCTCGTCCTTTCTTTCCCTCTGCTTCTGACCCCTCTGTCAATCTCTTCCCCTCAGCCCTACCGTTCGAGCCCCATCGCCGACCCGCACGAGAGGAGGTGGAGGAGCGAGGCGTGCGACCAGCTGCAGGCGCCCCAGTGGCGAAGATTGAGGACGGAGGGAGTACCGCAGGCACGCCAAAAGAGAAGCTGGCCTTCCAACGGGCGCCCCAAACCGCCCGATCGGCCCGCAGAGCTGGGGCACCCTGCGAAGCTCCGCGTCGGCGAAGGACGTGCCCCCAGACTTCTCGAACCGAGCTTTCTTGCCGCATGTGCTCACTTCAGTCCAGCTCCCCCAGCCGCTGTGGGCGTCCCGTGCTACAGTGAGCTGCTTGAATAAGGAACGCTTACTTTTCAAAAGGGGCTCGGTCGTTCCTTAGGCTTGCATGCGTTATGTATCGTTCCCTATGCGTTATGTATTATTTGTTCATCGTTCCCTATACGGTATTCCTTGGAAGAAAGGGGCTTCGTTCCTTATTTAATCGCTTCGCTCATTCCGCCGGCCCATACGGTCTCATGTCTGCCGTTTGCCCGAGGGCCTGGTGTCAATGCGGCGCTTTGGGGGTTCCTGGGGCCGCTTGGGGGACTCCTGGGGCGCTCGGGGGGGCATTTGGGGGGCCTCCTGGGGCCGCTTGGGGGACTCTTGGGGGCCTCCTGAGGGCCTCGTGGGGGCCTTTTGGGGCCTCTTAGGGGCCTCTTGGGGCCTCGTAGGGGCTTCTTAGGGCCGAGGGCTCGAAATTTTGTTTCGTGTTCCCTCTCTGGGGCCCCTCTGGGGGTGTTCTTGGGGCCCTCTTGGACCGTCTTGGAGGCTTCTTGGGCCGTCTTCGAGCCCTCTTGGGCCATCTTGGGGCCCTCTTGGGGGCCTCTTGGGCCCTCTTGGGGCGATCTTGGGGGCCTCTGGGGCCGTCTTGGGGCGTCGGGAACCGAAAAGGTGGAAGCTCCAAAATCTCTCAAAAACCTAAGGAAAAACAATGAATTTTGCCTCCGGGGGCCCTCTTGGGAGTGCTCTTGGAGGCCTCTTGGGGCGTCTGGGGGCTATCTTGGGCGTCTTGGAGCGATCTTGTGGCATGTCGGACCCCTCGTGTACCATCTTGGGGGCCTCTTGGGGGCCTCTTGGCCTTTCTTGGGGCTCTCGGGGACGTCTCGGAGCCCAGTTGGTGCGCTCATGGAGCGCTCCTGGAGCGCTCTGGGGGACTCCTCCCGGGACTCTCTCAGGACCTTGCCGGGGTACTTTTCGTCCGTGGACCCCCAGGGGCCGCCCCGCGCGCGCGAACTAGAGAATTGTTAGCCAGTTACCGGAGATCTTAGCACGCCTCTGGCCCGTTGGGCCGGCGAATTCAAGGTTCTTTGGGTCAACGCCCCGACTGTGCCGCTTCTGGAGCCTCTCCCAGGAGGGCTCCAGCTCGCAGGGCCTGCCTGCCTCCCTGCCTCCCCGGCCGCCCTGCCTGCCTGCCTCGGGCCCTTCCTCCTGCAGGGCGGGTGCTCCGTGCTCCGCGCGCTCCTGCGCGGGCCCTGGAGCGCCGTCCCACGCCGCAGTGCCGGGCCGCGCGTGCGAGAGTGGCCCGGGCCGCGGACGGGCATTTTGCTCGCACCGCCGCACCGCAGGGGAAGGCGAGTCGACGACACTTCCGCGCGGTGGCGCGGCGTCTCCTCGGCCCGCCGGAGCGCTGGCGCCTGGATATCGGCCTGGTCATGCCACGCGCTTCTTCCACGATGGCCCTGAGGTTTCGCATTGTCCGCCCGGTCCCAAGGAAGACAGGGGGTGTTCCTCATCCCCTGTCCTCCTCCTCCTCCTCCTCCTCCTCCCTCTGCTCCTCCTCCTCCTCCTCCTCCTCCTCCTCCTCCTCCTCCGACACCTTGGTGCCTGCAGAGCTCTGCTCTCGAGGCGGCCCTGCACGTCCGCCGGGAGCTCCTCCTGCTGCCCCATGGAGGCGGCGCGCAGCAGGCCCGCCGCGTCTCTTCGCGACCGGCGTGCGGGGCTCACATTGCGGTGCGCGGCGGTGACGACTCGCCGGACCACGGCGGTCCGTTCTCGCTGCAGCGGGCACATCCGGCCGGCCAGCAGGTGACCCTCTGAAATTTTCTTGCTCCCGAGGGCCCCAGGGACCCCCAGACGCGCCCTGGGGCACCCTAGGACCCTCAGACGTCGACGAAGAATGCGCCCCAAGGCTTCTTGTGGCACGCATTCTCATCGTATGTGTTCAGTTCATTCGGAATCCCATCGCTCCAGGATCTTGCCTCCTGCAGCGCCTCTCGCCAGTCGTGCTCGGCTGGGCTCCTCTGCTTCAGCACGAGGCGGTGCGCAGTCTCCTCTCTGTCTGCCCCGTTGCTGGGGGGGATCGCACCTCGGGTGCCTCTCGTGGTGAACAACCACAGCGGGCTTCTGGCGCATCCGCTTGAGCTGCATAGTCTCTGTTCCCTCCCTTTTCCCTTGTTCCCTCCCGCGCACTGCTCCACTCTCGTCCAGATCCTAGGTAATGGTGCGTTTTCCCACGTCTTCAGTCCATCGTTGTGCTCGGCTCGCCTACGCGCGTTGGACTGGTACCGGCAGCGCGTGCAGGGTGCGCTGCGCTCGATGTACGCCTGGGGAGCGCTTCGCACTTGGGTCGAGCTGGCCAGACCCATCGTCGTTGACCCAGATACTGTGTTTGCGACGCGAGAACAACAGGTGGTCACCTCGGGTGCCCCCTGGATGCAGGCCGCGGTGCTTCCGACAGCTGAAGATCACAGCGCCTGTGTGCACCTCCTTCCAGCCCCGCTCTTGCGAGCAGTCTCTGAGCAGCGAGCCCGGACGTCTCTCCAGGCTGATTTGCCTGGCCACAGGAGTGCTGGGAAGACGTAGCAATATCCACGGCCCTTCAATCGAAGACGCCTACGGCAAATCACCGCCGCCCCCTGCCTTCTAGAATCGCCCGTGTGGCCGAGCGTTGTGACAAGAGCTCTGCCAAGCTGTCGGACCATGTGTTCCCCCAACCGTTGTGGAAACCCCTCGGGGAACACTTCGGGGAGGATGGCGGGGAATATCAGGAGGAGGCAGAGGAAGAGGTGGAGGAGGAGGAGGAGGAGGAGGAGGAGGAGGAGGAGGAGGAGGAGGAGGAGGAGAAGGCATCTTGGGAGCCTCTGGAGACACTCTTGGGGCCACCTGGGAGCTTCCTGGGAGCCTCTTGGAGGCACCTTGGAGGCATCTTGGGGGCCTTCTTGGGCCTCATGGGGGCCTTTGGGGGCTTCTCGAGGGCCTCTTCGGCCGTCTTGGTGGGCTCCTGGCCCGTCGAACGCCGTCGGAAGCTGTCTTGGGGGCCTCTTTGGGCCCTCTTGGGGTGCTCCAGGGCCGTTTTGGAGGCTCCCTTGGGCGTCTTAGAGGCCTCTTGGGCCGTCTTGGGGCCCTTTTGGGGGCCGTCTTGGGGGCCGCTTGGGCCGTTCTGGGGCCATCCTGGAGGCCTCTTGGGCGATCTTTGGGCGATCTTTGGAGGCTCTTGGGCCGTCTCGGGCTGTCGGAAGGCCGAAAAGAAGCAAATGCCAACATACTTGAAACACCGCAGGGAAATCACTGGTTTTGGCCTTTTTGGGCCTTCCTGAAGTCTCTCTTGGAATCTTCGACCGTCTTGGTGAGCGCCTGGCCCGTCTGACGCCGTCGGAGGCCGCCTTGGGGGCCTCTCTGGGCCGACTTGGGGCCATCTTGGGGTTCGCCAGGGCCGTTTTGGAAGCTTCCTTGGGCGTCTTAGAGGCCTCTCGGGCCGTCTTGGGGCCCTCTTGGGCCCTTCCGGGGCCGTCTTGGAGGCCTCTTGGGCGATCTGGGGGCGATGTTTGGGGGCTTTTCGGCCGCCTCGAGCCGTCGGAAGGCCGAACGACGCAAATGCCAACATCCTTAACACATTGCAGGACAAACAAGGATCTTGGCCTCTTCGGGCCTTCTGGAGGCCCTCTTGGAGGGCTCTTGGGCCGTCTTGGGCCATCTTAGAACCACCTTGGGCCGTCTTGGTGGGCTCCTGGCACGCCTGACTCCGTCGGAAGCCGTCTTGGGGGCCTCTCTGGGCCGACTTGGGGTCATCTTGGGGTGCTCCAGGGCAGTCTTGGAGGCTTTCTTGGGCGTCTTAGAGGCCTCTTGGGCCGTCTTGGGGCCCTCTTGGGGGCCTCTTGGGCAGTCATGAGGCCATCTTGGAGGCCTCTTGGGCGCTCTGGGGGCGATCTTTGGGGGCTCTTGGGCCGTCTCGGGCCGTCGGAAGGCAGAAAAAAAGCAAATGCCCAAATCCTTCAACAATCTAAGGACAATCAATAATTTTAGCATCTTCGGGCCCTCCTGGAGGACCTTTCAGAGGCCTCTTGGGCCGTCTTGGAGGCCTCTTGGGCACTTCTTGGACAGTCTTGGGCCCTCTTGGAGGCCTCTTGGGCGGACTTGGAAGTATCTTGGACCCTTTTGGGCTGTCTTGGAGGCCCCCTTGGCCATCTTAGATGAATCTTGGAGGCCATCTTGGACCATCTTGGCGGTCTTGAAAGCCATCCTGAGCCTTTTTTTGGTTTGTGAGAGTTGGGCGCCCTGTGTGTCCCTTCGGGTGGCTGGTGGAACGGGCCGAGAGATAGTCCGCCGCCCCCTGTTGGCTTGCCACAGGGGTGTCGGGCGTGGTAGACCCTAGACGGTTTTGGTTCTTTTTGAACTCCCCCTCCTCCCCCTCCTTTCTCCTCCTCCTTTCTCCTCCTCCTTTCTCCTCCTCCTTTCTCCTCCTGTCTCCTCCTCCTCCTCCTCCTCCTCCTGCTCCTAAGATCCTAAGGCCGCAGCCGCTCTCGAGCGCAGGCTCGAAGCACCCCGCGGGCCTCCGCAGAAGGTTGCCCCCCCACCAGTCTGGCCCACCAGGCCGGCCACCCGGAAATGACCGCAGACTGCACATGTCGATGCCTTTCACGCCTACGATGGTCCCACGATGGACTCCAAGATGCCTCCGAGACGGCCCAAGATGGCCTCTGAGTCCGCCCAAGATGGTCCAACGTGGCCTCCAAGACAGCCCAAGAGGGTCCAAGATACTCCCAAGTCCGCCCGAGAAGCCTCCGAGACGGCCCTAGACGGGCCCAGAGGCGATCAGGAGGCCTCCAAGACGGCCGCAAGAGGGCTCTAAGAGGTCCTCCAGGAAGGCCCGAAGAGGCCCAAAACATTGATATTCTGGAAGTTTTTGACGCATTTTCGTATTTGCTCTTTTTCAATATACCGACTGTCCACGACGGCCCAAGAGGCCCCCACGATCGCCCCCAGAGCGCCAAAGAGGCCTCCAAGATGGCCTCAGGACTGCCCAAGAGGCCCCCAAGACGGCCCCAAGAGGGCTCCAAGACGGCCTAAGAGGCTTCCAAGACGGCCCAAAAGGCCTCTAGGCCGCTTAAGGAAGCTTCCAAAACGGCCCTGGCGAACCCCAAGAGGGCCCCAAGTCGGCCCAGAGAGGCCCCCCAAGACGGTCTCCGACGGCGTCAGACGGGCCAGGAGCCCACCAGGACGGTTCAAGATGGTCCAAGATATTTCCAAGTCCGCCCACGAGGCCTCCAAGACGGCCCGAGACTGTCCAAGAGGTGCCCAAGAGGCCTCCAAGACGGCCCAAGAGTCTTCTAAGAGGGCTCCAAAACGGCCCAAAAGGGCTCTAAGACGCCCAAGGAAGCCTCCAAGACTGCCCTGGAGCACCCCAGGAGGGCCCCAAGTCGGCCCAGAGAGGTCCCCCCAGACGGCTTCCGACGGCGGGCCAGGAGCTCACCAAGATGGCCGAAGATGGTTTTAAGATGACCTAATGCGGCCCAAGAGAGACCTCCAAGAGGGCCTCCAGGAAGGCCCGAAGAGGCCTAAATCATTGATTTTCTTTAGGTTTTTTAGAGAGATTTTGGCCTTTGCTTCTTTTCGGCCCACCGACGGCCCGAGACGGCCCAAGAGCCCCCACAGATCGCCCCAAGATGGTCCGTAGCCATTTTGGCTCAAGCCTTTGGCGCATGGGGTGGTCCGCCGACTTGCAGGCTACCATGGCGATGACTACTGCGTCCGATGACCAACACATGGAGCGGATCGCAGAAATGCATATGAATCTGGAAGCGCGGATCGATGCCATGATAGATGGTCACCACAGATCCATTATGGAACGTATCGAGCAGTTGGTGCAAGGTCAGGGGCACCCGCAGAGAGCGCCTCGGGACCGACGGGCAGTGTCGACCGCGGGCAACACCCCATCGCCATCGTCGGAGAGACGCCCCAGGCGGAAGGTCAGACGCAACACGGGCACGTCTCTTCAAGAGTTTTTTGGCTTTCAGAGGAAGCCACCGATGCAGAGCACGAGAACAGAGGTCGTGCAAGTAGTCGAGGTTGTCAAGGGCTATCGCCAAGGCAGGGACTCGATCATTGTCGGGAGCAGGTCTTCCTCCGGCAGTGGGATAGTTCGGCGTGACGCTCTCCCCTTCCGCATTGCTGCCGCAATTAGGGAGAGACGTGAGTTTGAGATGGTCGTCACACTAATGATTGTGGCGAACGCCTGCTGCGTCGGGTACAATGCGGACTGGAGCATCAAGAACCCAGGCATGGACCTGCCGGTTGCGTTATGGGCTATAGACATGTGCTTCTTGTGCATGTTCGTGATTGAGCTGCTGATCCGCATGCTCGGGGAGCGTTCCTATTTCTTTCGCATTGGGAACCCATACTTCGGATGGAACGTATTCGACGCTTGCATCGTGTCAATCAGCCTCCTCAACGAGGCGAGCCTTGGCCCCGTGAACCTGTCCGCGACACGATCTGTACGTACGCTGCGGCTTGTGAAAGCTCTGAGGGTGGTCAGGTTCCTCACATGGTTCAAGGAGCTAAGAATCATGGCGTCCGGGATCATGAACTGCGGAAGGTCTCTTTGCTGGTCTATGCTTTTGATTTTCGTCATCACGTACGTGTACGCCGTCTTTTGCCTGCAGATTCTCGCCGAGTGGCTCGGCTCCGTGGGCGGCAGCAGATCTTCGGGACCATGGGACGACCGTGCGGAGCTGACCGCCCAGAGGACCGTCGACGCAATCCATTTCCACTTCCCTTCGCTGCCCTGGTGCGCCTACTCGCTATTCAAGGCAGTTTCCGGTGGCTCTACTTGGGGCACCGAGGTGGCGGACCATTTGAACCAGGTGGGTTCGTTCATGGTGTTCTCCTTCGTGCTCTACGTCTGCGTGACGGTGTTCAGCATCGTTCGTGGACGCGGCTTCGCGGCAGTCGATGCAAGACGACGCGAATCTCGTGGAGCACATCGACAAAAAAGCGAAGTGGATCGAACACGTCGCTGATATTTTTGCCACGTATGACAGTTCAGGCGATGGCTTTATTTCGTTGGACGAGTTCGAGTGCGTGTTTGAGGATGTGCGAACGCGGGCTATCTTCAGTGAACTCGGGGTCGACTTGGACTTTCGACCGTCAAGGTCCTTGTTCGCAGTGTTCGACATAAATTTCGACGGCCAGATCGACATCGACGAGTTCATACAGGGCTGCTACTACTTGAAGGGACCTGCGAAGAGCCTGGACATGTACCTCGGCCTCTGCAAAATCAACCGCAAGCTCCACAGCGTGATTGGCTCCGGTAGCGGGCCCGACCTTGCGAGCGAGAAGGGCCTCCCCGCCGAAGAACTACCAGCAGCCACCGAGGAGTACCAACAGGAGCCGCCTCCACGCGGCCGCGCGAGCACGTCTCACTCTGCCGAGGATGACCGCAGCTTTTCTGACGAGCTCGGTCCAGTGGGGCCCCGGGATAGTGTCAGTTACTGCAGCCACTTGTCGATGGAGAGCCTCTGAGGCGACCAAGCTCTGAGGAGAAAGACTCTCCGACACCGACGCCGACGCCCTCCCCTCGTCTCCTCTTCCGTCCCCCTCCGCATCGCCGACTCCGGGTCGATGTTTCTCCCCCCTTTCCTCCTCTTCCGCTGGGGCGGGGGCCAGGCCGCAAGATGCCTGCCGCGGGGCGGTCGGCTGCGCCGCAACGTTCGGCCGAGCCAGGCCTCCCCGTAGCCGTCAAGCTTGCGGGTGGAGGTACCTGTCCCTCTGGCCCCCCGCTTCCATGAAGCAGTAGCCAAGCGTCTTGGTCTGCCTACAGGCCCACCAAAGAATTTTCTACGGAACCTATTGTGGTTCTTGTGGTTTTCTGAACATTTTTGGTTCTCGTGGTAGGCCTATAGGAGTTCCGGGACGGTCGATCCCTGCTCCATACCAGTTCGCAGCAAATGATGGATAACCACTGAGCGGCAGGGTCTATCGCAATAGTCACCGATCCTCTTACGCGATCCGGCCGCCGCCATGGTGTGGCAGCAATATCGTGAATTTCTAATGTGATGGGCAAGTTGTCCCGCTGTCCCCTCAGCTGCCCTAAGACGCTCTTTTCAAAACGCGAGAGGTGCTGTGTTCAAAACGTCTGTGTTGACACGCTGCTTGTCGGCTCTGTACGTCTTGACCCACGTTTTTGGCGAACGTATCGCGCAAGACCTGCGCATTCAGTTTAGGGGTTGAGCTCCGTGCCAACACGCTAACGGGTTGCGTGGTGTGTCTCGGTGCGGCTAAGGTTGGAGCGCATGGCAGCCTCCCGCGCCTTGCGGTTGAATTCAGATTGGTGGGTGCGCCGCCTCACACCGACACCAGTTCGCATGGCAGCTTCCCCAATGCAATTTTCTCCTCGCGGGCTGCGACTTATTCGTCAGGACCGAAGCGCGCATTTCCAGCATACTGGAATGCTTTGCGGTAATGCTAACTGCTACCGCCAGGCTGAGCGATATCTTGTTCATTTTGTCTTTCTGGTGTGGCGTAGCAGTCGATGCGGGAAGGTTCCTTGCTCAAAGTTACGCTGTTCAAAAAAAGGATCGCCCCAAGATGGCCGAAGAGACCACCCGAGTTATTGATGTCACTCGCAGGCCCGCAGAAGGATTTCTAGCCTGCGGAACTGCGTTTCATCTCCATGTTTTGAAATGTCCATGTGTGTTGCTTGTGCCCTTGTCATAAGGTTGCACGGACTGCTAGAGAACTTGCCAACACAAGAGCTTGCGTATTTGATCGAGAGTTGGCAGCCCTGTTTTCCAGTCTCAAGCTTAGTACTCAGGATCGAGTCCTGCGCGCATTGTTAGCAATCCTGCGGGATATGACCAGGGATCAGCGCTGCTCACCTGATCTACCTTGTACCAATTGTTTGGACAATCTTCCCGCATCTGCTCAAGACGTCTCTGGCGCTGAAGGCGGCCCCACAGAACGGCACTGTGGGACCCTTCCGCCTTTGCAGGACACGCGAGCGATCCCACACGTGCGAAACACATCGCTCGAGAGGCCTCCGGGCCCCAGGACGGCCCAAGCAGTCCCCACGACGGCCCCACCCAAGAGGCCCCGAGGACGGCCCCAGAGAGGCCTCCAAGACGCCCAAGATGGCCGTCAAGACGACACTGGAGCAGCCCAAGAGGGCCCCAAGTCGGCCCAGAGAAGCCCCCAAGACGGCTTCCGACGGCGTCAGGCGGGCCAGGAGCCCACCAAGGCGGTCAAAGAGGCTCCCGAGAAGCCCCCAAAGGCCCCCAAGAGGCACAAGGAGGCCCCCGAGATGCCTCCAAGAGGCTCCAAAGAAGCTCCCAGGAGGCCTCAATAGTGTCCCCAGAGGCTCCCAAGATGCCCCCTCCTCCTCCTCCTCCTCCTCCTCCTCCTCCTCCTCCTCCTCCTCTTCATCCTCCTAGGCGGAGGATGAAGATCACGACCATTGGTCAGGCTGCCAGCTCGCTGGCAGCAGTCTTGCATTGGGTAGGACATGATCGAAGAAGTGCAAGCGCTACTTCCTGTCCTAACCCATCCACCCGAGTCTTTTCTCGCATCTTCTACGAATACCCTTCCTCCTCAAACGACCAGCCCCAGCTAAGAGCCGCTGGAATGGTCAATCCACGTGCAGCATTGCCTTCACCGCTTCCATCGCGCTGGGATGTTTCTACATCGTGAGCTGTAATCACGTCGGTGGGGGGAGGTACGGTTGGGGGGGAGGACGTGGCGGGATGGGGGGTGTTGCTTAGTTGGCAGTTCTCGACGTTCGTGGAGCCCGCCCTGATGCTGTGGACGAGCCTGTCTCTTCATCCTACTGCGGACTCGGCGCCACAGTCCGTAGTTTTGCAGGTTGCCTCACATTTTCAAGCTCTTGCCATAGCCAACGAGCCAGCGGTTCTTCTGGGAATGCCGAGGGAGGAAGAGGAGAGGAGGAGGGGGGAGCAGGACAGGGACCAGGAGGAGGCGCCATGATATCCAGCGTCTTCGCACTCGCGCGTATGTGGCGGCGCCCCACGGTGCTCTTACGATTTGGCTGCAGTGTTGCGCCGCGCTGCATTGGCGGCGCCGAAGGCGAGCTGTTGACATTGTATTTGTAGCTTTCCTGTCCGTTCTCGCCCCTGCTCGACGCTCCCCGTCGTCCCGCTCCTTCATCCTCCACCTCCTCCTCCTCCTCCTCCTCCTCCTCCTCCTCCTCTGCGCTTCCACCCGTGCACTGGGCTGGGCGGGTGAGTGCACCGTGCGTTGGCGTCGGCGCATGCGGCTGTTTTCCGCTTTGCCTGGACTGGGCAGTAGTGCTGTCTCGGAGGTGGCCTTTGCGGGCGGACTCCATACCCTAGCAGCCAGTATCCTAGCAGCAGGCGGTTATTCCTGCCTGGCCCGGTGGTCGCTTCGCTCTTTTTTTTCGCTCGCCTCCTTCACCTCCTGCCATCGCAGGGCCACGGTGGGACGAGAGCAGGTACACTGCAGGATTTTTGTTCGTAGTCGTTCTCCCCCGACGCACGGGGTCCGATCGGCGCGATATATTTTGCATTTAAGCTTACGGCGGTCGGGCTGCAACGGGGGGCTGCGAACTGCGAAACGGTTGCCACTCTTAATGGCTGCTAAGAAGGGCCAGCGGGATGACGTCATACGCAGACTCAGTCCTGAGTACTCTGTCGGCCCTCTCCGCTGGTGCTCTGGTAGCACGCCACCAGGCAATGTTGGCGTGGTGATCGATGGAGCTCCTCCTCCTCCTCCTCCTCCTCCTCCTCCTCGTTCACATCCTCCTCCACATCCTCCTCCGCCTCCTCCTGATCTTCCTCGCCATCCTCCCCGAAATGTTCCCCGAAGAGTTTCCACAACGGTTGGGGGAACACACGGTCCGATAGCTTGGCAGAGCTCTTGCCACAACGCTCGGCCACATGGGCGATTCTAGAAGGCAGGGGGCGGCGGTGATTCGCCGTAGGCGTCTTCGATTCATTTGGAAAATGATCGATCGGATTTAGCACGCCGGGCACCCCTGTGGCAAGCCAGCAGGGGGCGGCGGATCTAATGGCTTTCGGCCCATCCCGGCACCGTGCCTGGGGTGTGGGTCAGAGTTCTGAGGGATGCTTCTTGGGGTCTCTTCGGAGCGCTCTCGGGGGCCTCGTGGGGGCTGTTTTGGGGGCCTCTTGGGAGCCTCTTGAGGGCCTCTTGGGGGCCTCTTGGGGGCCTCTTGGGGGCCTCTTGGTGGGCTCCTTGGGGGCCTCTGTGGGCCTTCTGGGCCCCTCGGGGCGGCTGAGAGCGGCGGGAGGCCGAAATGGTGGGAAAGCCCAAAACCTTCAACAACATTCGGGAATTCCATGATTTGGGCCTCTTGGGGCTCTCTTGGGGGGCCTCTTGGAGGCGTCTTGCGGCGTCTTGGAGGCTTCCTGGGCCGTCTTGGGGCCATCTTGCGCGTCTTGGAGCGATCGTTCGGCGACCCGGGTCCCTCTTGGATCGTTTTTGGCGCGTCTTGGGGCCTCCTGGCCTGTTTTGGCGCCCTTGTGGGCCCGAAAAGTTCACGCGACAAGATGCGCCGGAGGCCAGGGGGTACGCGCCAAGCCCCAAGAGATTTCGGAGATTGCGTTCCAGGCCCCCTAAACTCTCACAACTCAAGACTAAGGTTCAGGGGATTGGGCAGAGGACCTGAGGACATGCCCACTGCGTGCCCAGTGGCACGGAGTCGAACTCTCCTGCGCAGCTGTGTTTCAGAGCTCGGAGTCCTTTATTTTCGTGGTGGTGGTCGTCGTCGTTCGTCCCCCCTTCCCTGGCCTACCTTTGGCCCTGGCCCCAGCCCCCTCGCTCCCCCTGGCCCCGTCTCCCGGCCTACCCCTGGCCTCTGGTCCTAGCCCTCCCGCTGCACCCTGACCAAAGAGCCATTCCTGTTCGTGGTGCTGGTGGCGGTCGCCGTTCTGGCCTGCCCCTGGCCCCGGCTCCCCCCATCCCCCTTGCTACCTGATCGTCCACGAGCCAGGGCACGCGTGCCACTCGTCGTCGCCGCCGTCGCCGTCGCCGTCGCCGTGACTGCCGTCGGCAAATCGAGTGAACTCGCTCACCCCCTCCATATTCCTCTTTGCCCCTCGTCCCCTCTCTCCCTCTCTCTCCCCCCTGCGCCGCCCCCCTCCTCTGGCCGCCGCCCCCTGAGATATCTGGCGCCGTGGAGGAGTTGCAGCCTCGCGAAAGACCACGACTGGAGCCCCAGATCCCATCTTTCTGCGGCATTCCTCGAGCCGCATCGATCTGTGACGGCCCAGTGAACTTGCTGACAGACTCCTCCACAATACCCAAATTCAGATGCAAGTTGGCACATGGGGCGAGACCACCCGAGACTGATTGTCGATCGACTTGCCGACAAGCGTGCTGTGTGGGATCAGTCTTGGCCGCATTCGGAGCGCATGCCAGCAGCGTCCCCTGAGATCCGACGCTGTGAGGAAATCGAAACATCGTCGTGGACAATCGCGACCGCAGACCCATATTCAATTTCTTTAGCGAGACCAATGAATTAATCAAACATAGCGAAGCAATGCGACCAGAGCCCTAGATCCCAGCTTTCTGCGGAATTCTTCGAGCCGCATCGATCTGTGATGGACTGGGGGCCCAGCGCCAGGCGAACACGTCTGGTGTGGAAAGAGTTGCCACGCCTGGATCTCGGGGTTTCGGAACGATCGACATGGGTACAGGAAGAATGGGTAGGAAGACCGACAGCAGTTCTTGTCCATTTTGAGCAGGGTTCGCTGCCGGCGTTGCCGCGGACGTAGTCCACTGGAGACGGGAGGCCGCCTGCCCAACAGTGGCCGCTGTCAGTTTTGGGTTGCTGGGCATCGCTCGCATGTTTTCCGTACCCCTTTCGGGCGTCCAAAAGGGTTCCCTCTGGTGAAACGCCTGCCCGGAGAGGAAGGCAGGGGAGGCCACTATGGCGCTCGGTGCCGGAGTGGAGTGGATGGGGAGGGGGCGCTGCCGAATTTGGACAGCTATTTGTTTGAGGCCCTTGGCAGGAGCACTTCTGGATAAATAGCCAGTTGCGCTGCCGCGCGATTCTGCCGCCGCGCTCGGGCTGTCGGGGGTGGGGGGCGCTTTTGGGTGAGGGGGAGATGGAAAAGTCCACGGACCACCCCTTTCCCCAAGCTTCATTTTCGGGGCAGTTTTTTGCTTGGAAGGCCAAGAGCGTAGGGACTCGGCCACAAAAGTCAACGCAGCTTGGCTCGATGCGTAAGGCGAAAGGCGAAAGGGCCCGACGCACAGCAACCGCTGCAAACGCGGGGACGGATTCGCATCATCCTCTGCATCGTCTGCTGTTCCTTCGGGGCATACGCGCAGTTCATGACAAAGTTTCCGCAGGACCGCCGGCCGCTGGGATGGCATGCGGCGCTCCCCTTCCCGGCCACCTGCCATGGAGCTCCTTCGGCGGCGCGCCTTGGGGGAAAGTGAGGAACAGGCCTGCTCAGAAGGCGGCGTTTTTTTTTCCCCTCGCGCCTTCTGAGCAGTTTTCTGCGTCCTCGGGGAGGGCTTAGAAAACCTCCCGGAAGGCCCGATGCCTTCGAGCCTTCTGGGAAGGCCCGCCCCCTCTTACTTCCCCCCTGGGCTCGCCGCCGACTTCTGCCCTCGTCAAAAAGTCCCCTACTGCACAATGTCCAGGGACGCGTGTGGTGCAAGATATGTTGTGCAACCTATGTGGTGCAAAATGTGTTGTGCAATCTAAGTGGTACAACATATCTTGTGCAATCTATGCGGAGCATTAAATGTGTTGCAATCTATGTGGCTGCACATGGTGCAATACAAGTGGTGCAATCTACGTTGCGCCATCTATGTAGTGCAGTCCAAGTTTTGAGTAACATATGAGTGCACTGTATGTAGTGTAATTTCTGTTGTGCGTTACATATATATATATATAAATACAGATGTATGTGGTGCAATATGTTGTGCAATCTAGGTGGCGACGGGGCGGCGACGGGGCGGCGACGAGGCGGCGACGGCGACAACAGAGCCGCCAGACCGCCACCCTGGCCCAGACGACCGGCGGCGACGAGGCGGCGACGGCGACAACGTAGCCGCCAGACCGCCACACCAGCCCAGCTCCGTAGAAAAAGAGGGAATAGGCGTACAAACTCGGAGGTCCGCGCGGATTTCTTCGATCGACGCTGGATCCCCCTGGCGGCGCCTCCGGCATTGCTCCTGGCGCGCTCCGCGCGCCAGGGGGGGTGGTCCAGCGCGTTCGGAACAATCCGCGCCGGCCTCAGAACTTTATGTTTATGTCCTGTTTGTTTCCCCATTCTCTTGCAGTTTCTGTTTTCGATGCACGGTTGGCGTTGGAAAGATAGCGTGCAAAGTGGCGCCGTCGGCCCGCTTACTGCACGCTATCCCCCCCCACCTTGGGGATTGCGCGCACCGAAGAGGCCCTGGCAGGGGGCTGGCATGCACAGAAGGTGCCCTCGCGGGGGGGATCGCCGCGACGCGCTGAGCAAAAGTTCCCGACCGTGAGCCAGCATGGGAGGCCGATCCACCACGGGCTTGCTCGGAGGCGGACCCAGCCGTCTGGCGGCGCGAGTCTTGTGCAGCGTGGGCCCCAGGAGGCCTCGACCCATTCCCCGGGGCCACGGGATGCGAAGGGCAGGGATTGGAGGATCGGATCGGATCGTCTTGAGGAGGAAACGTCGCGCCCCGCAGCGCCGTCCGGGGCCGCCCTCCCTTTGGGGGGGGCCGCAGGGATGGAGCCGTGAACGCACAAATTAACCAGGGCAGTATTGTAGTGGCCTCGGGCCAGTGCCGCCGATCCGGGGTGCTACCGATTCTGCTTGCAACGGATGACCTTTTATGTTGAAAAGTAGAGCACTCGCTCGAGACATCTTCATGAGATAGAGATGTTGAACTCGCTTTGGCAACTTTGGGATATTCGAAAGTGACGATCTCGCGTGAAAAGCCGAACTCATGGGATGTCGTCTCCAACCTTCCGGGCCTGAATAGCGTCAGCCATGGCGTCAGCCCCCGCGCCCCCGACTCCCCCGTCCTGGGCGTGAATGGCGTCAGCCATGGCGTCGGCCCTCCTCCCTTCCTTTCCTCTCCCGAGCTTGAATGGCGTCAGCCATCCCGGGCCTGAACGGCGTCAGCCCCCCCCCCCGACAGAGCGAAGCCCCCCCCTCCTCCCTCCCGGGTCTGAATGGCGTCAGCTCCCCCCCCTTCCTCCCTCTCGGGCCTGAATGGTGTAGCCCCCCCCCCCCCCTCCCGACAGAGCGAAGCCCCTCCCCCCAGAGACCTCCGAGAGGCGTCCCGAGAGAGCCCGAAGAGGCCCAAATCCTTAATTTCCATGGTTTTTTCTATATTTTTCGGTGTCTCGCGTTTTCGACCTTCTGGCGCTCCTCGACAGCCGACGACACCCCCAAGGCCGCCCCAAGAACGCCCCAAAGGCTCCCAACAGAGCCCCAAGACTGCCCTAGGGAGCCCGACAAATGCCCAGGACGAGCCCCAGACGGCCCAAGAGAGCCCCAGGACAGGCCCAAGCTGGGCCCTGGAGCGGGAGCGGGAGGCCCCAAGGCGCTCCAAGACGGCCCTGATGGCCCCAACGTGGCCCCAGATGGGCCCAACACGACCAAAACACAGCCCAAGAGCCCTCCAAGAGGCCCCAAGAGCTCCGAGAGGCGTGCCGACAGAGCCCGAAGAGGCCCATATCCTTGATATTCCCTTTCGTTTTTTCAACTGTTTTCCGCTTTCTCGCGTTCTCGAGCTGCCAACGCTCCAGCACGACCGAAGACGCCCCGAAGATCGCCCCGAGACCGCCGAACAGGCCCCAAAAAGAGCTCCAAGACGGCCCAGGAGAGCCTGTATATTGCCCAAGAGCAGCCCAAGAGCAGCCCAAGACTGCCCAAGAGAGCCCCAGGACAGGCCCAAGCTGGGCCGCAGAGCGGCAGCGGGAGGCCTAAGAGGCCAAGAGGCCTCCAAGAGGGCTCAAGAGAGCTCCGAGAGACGCCCCGAGAGAGCCCAAAGAGGCCCAACTCATTGATATGCACTGGTTTGTTCGATGTTTTCGCTTTCTCGCGTTCTCGAGCTTCCACTGCTCGAAGACGGCAGAAGACGCCCCCAAGACCGCCCCAAGACGGTCGAAGAGGCACACAAAAGACCCCCAAGACGGCCCCAGGGAGCCCGAAAATTGCCCAGGAGGAGTCCCATGCGGCCCAGGAGAGCCCCAGGATGGGCCCAAGCTGGGCACCAGAGCGGGGGCGGGAGACCCCACGGCGCTCCAAGACGGCTCATTTGCCCCCCAACGTTGCCCCAGATGGGCCCACCACGCCAAGCACACAGGCCAAGAGGTCCCACGAGGCCCCAAGAAAGCTGCGAGAGGCGTCCCGAGAGAGCCCGGGCCTTGCCTTCGAAAGACAAAGGGGTTGCCATCTCTTCCTCGGCGGCCGCACTGGGTCTGGGCCTGGACGGTGTGGCGCCCGCATCGGCGGGGGGGTACATCTGTCCCTGGGCGCAGCACGACCCTCGGTCTCAGCCTTGCCCTGCTGGTGGCGGCGATAGCCAGGCGCCCGCGGCCGCCCTGGGCGGCCCCCAGGTATTCACGTTCTCCGTACAGGCAGCCCGCACACTCAGGATGGGCACCCTTCCCAAAGGTATCCCTGCCTCCTTGCTTCCTCGGTCCGTCCTTGCCCACTTTCGCACTCCGCGCTCCGCTCGAAGAGCTTCCACACCGAGGCTCGGCCGCAGCGCGGGAGCGGGATGCCCAAGCTGGGCCGCACAGCGGGAGCGGGATGCCCCAGAGCGCTCCAAGACGGCCCAGATGGCCCGGGCCTTCGCCATCCGTCCCTCCTTCCCTCCTGCCCCCTCCCCTTGCCCCCATCCCTCCTCTCTCCTCTTCCTCCCCTCACCCCTCAGCTCTCGTGCTCCTCCCTCCTCTCCTCGGACGGCCCTGCCAGAGCGCCAGACAAGCCCCGCTAGAGCGAGCGGGGCATCGCTGTACCCTATCATTTCACAGGCTGTTTTCCCCCTCCCACCCCTCAAGGGCGGCCCCGGCAGAGCGAGAGCGTTCTGACTGCGCGTTTCTCTGCGTCGATGGCATGGGCCCGAAGACGCTGGAAATCGTCGCTGCGACCACATCGGGGGTTACAGCGGCACCCGTGCCTTATCTGCGGCTAGAACCTAAGCGCGCGTAGCGCGCGTGGCTCCAGTACATATGTATGTATGTATGTATGTATGTATGCATGTATGTATGTATATATGTACGTATGTATGTATGTATGTATGTATGTATGTATATATATATGTATGTATGTATGTATGTATGTATGTATGTATGTATGTATGTATGTATGTATGTATGTATGTATGTATGTATGTATGTATGTATGTATGTATGTATGTATGTATGTATGTATGTATGTATGTATGTATGTATGTATGTATGTATGTATGTATGTATGTATGTATGTATGTATGTATGTATGTATGTATGTATGTATGTATGTACGTACGTATGTATGTATGTATGTATGTATGTATGTATGTATCTATGTATGTATGTATGTATGTATGTATGTATGTATATATATGTATACAGATGCCCAGTTCAAACAAGACCTCGATGCTTCTGTTTGAATTGAAATATCATCTCGGTGTTTCTTGTGCGCGCCGCGACAAATCTCGATGGTTGCGGCCGCCCGCTCGCGGGCGTGCTCTGCTCCCCCGTTTCGCGCTGGCGCCCGCGGCCCTTGGCTTTCGCCTTCGCCCTTGCCCACAGGCAGGGTTTGCGCTCTGCTCTATTTTGAAGAGGCGAAGAGGCGGCCTCCACAGCACAAAGCGCTGAAATGAGCACCACGTCGGGTTCGGGAGGCACTGTGGTTGTCGGGCCGTGCCTCAGATCTGGGTCGGGGAACCTGCCAGTGCTCCAGGCTCGCCGCGGCCAGAAAGACTTCGTTCTTTGCCCAGCATTACACCTTGCAGCACGACGACTTGCCCTCGCAGGGCGAGACGCTTGTGGGGACCGCTCCCTCGCGCGCTCGCTGGCAGTCTCCTGTGCAGGACACCCTCGTCCTGGGCCTCTGCGTCGCAGGCCACGGGAGGGGCGCGGTCGAGCAGGGGGGAGGGAGGGTTCAGTCGGGCCTGTCCCCCTACAGGGGGAATCGTCAAAGATAGTCAACAATGATATGGGGACCATTTTTGGGGATATTTTTTGGACCATTTTGGAATCTTGTCTTGAATCTTTTTTTATATTTCGTCGAACATCCCCCTGTCAGGGGACACGCCCTACTGAAAGGGAGGGGGCGCGAGAGGGAGGGGAACGAGGCGAGGAAGACGGGCGTTCGGGGCACCCCGGCCGGGAACTTTGGATGGCGTGCCGCGCTGCGGGTTCCGGCCCATCGCCTTTCGGCTCGGAGCGCTATCCATGCCCCTGTCCCCACGCGTCAGCGTCACGAGCCTTTCCGAGCCTTCCGCCCCGCGGAGCGAAGCGTCACGCGCGATCCGCTCGCATGGCACAGTGTGTCACTGAGCCCGCCGCCGCGACACGCTCAGCAAAAGGTCTCGACCGTAGTCGAAGAAGGATAAATGTCGGAGCTCCAGGCGGATTTTTTGGATCGGCGCTGGGCCCCCCTGGCTTTCGGAGCTCCGCGCGGATTTCTTGGATCTGCGCTTTGCCCATTGGCGGTGCCTTCGGCGCCGGCCCTGGCGCCCTCAGCTCGCCAGGGAGTGGGATGCAGCGCAAGTCCAAGAACTCCGCGCGGACCTCCGACAGTGTATAGGCATGCAGTTCTTCTCGTGCCTAAGCGAAACTAGGGCAGGACAAGCGGGAACACGTGAGGAGGGGGAGCTCATAATTATTGACAAGGCGGAGAGGATGTTCAAGTAGTGGGGGATTGGGCTAGTCGGCGATCGTGATGAAGGGGGGCGACTTTTCGAGGCAAGCCTGTGGGTGGGAGTCGTAGGCAGAAGAGTAGAATATTGGCCTGGAACTGGACGCTGGCCTCCAGCTCCAGGCCATTCTGAAGCATGTGGGGATGTGTGCGAGCGGATGAGAGGTACAGCCTGTATTCCAAGGCACGGACACAAGGAAGGGCATGGGCGGTCGTATAATCAAGTCAGCTGGCGAGCAAACAAGCAACCAAGCAAGCATGTAACGCGGTCGCTTACAGCCTCGTCGTGCGCTGCAGACGGTGCATGTTTGACGCGAAAGTTATATAGTCTGGCGATTACTGTCAGCCCAGACGCGGTACAAACTTACGCTCACTCGAGCATGAGATGCAATCAGCGCGCTGGCTTTCTTATGATCTGTCGAGCGGACAAGCAGGCAACCGCAGCCCGCAGCTCACGAGTAAGGTTTCGCAAAGAGCAAGGGACGCAAGCAGTGCGGTATGTCACTGCAGGACGCCCGGGAGTCAGCAAGCGAGCCGTCGTCCGAGCACCCCTGGAGGAACGCAGCGTCTGCCCCCCCCCCGAACTCCGCCACGGACCGACCGGTTGGGAGCTGAGGTTATTTTGCTTTCAGTGGGATATTGACACTTATCGACTACAAGATCATAAAGACATCGGTGAAGCCCCGCAGCCACTGCCTGACGCTAGGGAGAATATCCCTGCACGTTCCCCAGCTGCACCTACTCTTCGCAGTTTTCCATTCATTCTGCGTCATGCCTTTTGTTCTTTTACCTCTGCTTATCGCGTCGTTGTCTTGTTACCGTCTTCTTACGCTCGTATCCTTGCCATTACAATGTGCTGGGCTGTCTGGGTGCCATCCTTGCATTTCCGCGTGATCATTTGAAGGTTTAGTTGTCCGGAGGCGACAGTGCTCACGTGCTTCTATCATTCACTACTCCGCTCATGGGCTTTCGCCGATCACGTTCAAGTTTACCGATTGGAGCGCATTCTGAGATCAGCGAAGCGCGGATGTCTCCCGTCGTTCTTCTGTTTTTTTTCCTGACAGCTGTGTTTTATGTTGCTGCGCCGCAGCTCCTCATGCTGCTGCTGCTACTCCGGATGCTCCTGGTGATGGTCTGCTTCAACTGCTGCTCCCTGTCCTCGTCTTTGTCCTCGTCCCTGTCTTCCTCGTCGTCGTCGTCGTCGTTGAGTCGTACGCTTGCCTCGTCGTCGTCGTCGGCGTCGTCGTCCTCATCGTTGTCCTCGTCTCGTCCTCGTCCTCGTCGTTCTCGTGGTTCTTACCGTCGTCGGCGTGCTCATCCTCCTTTTGTTCGGTCTCCTACATTTTCTTCCTTCACATCCATCTCAAGCTTCTAATCCGGCTGCAGTGGATGAGGAGGAGGCGGAGGAGTAAGGGGAGGAGGACGAGAGCGAGCCCGACCATGCCAGCAGACCAGGAACCCGCATAGCGCAATGTAGCCTTCGATCCCTCGGAGCACCCCTGACGCTGCAATGGTGCTCATCATTTATGGTACAGTCGAGCATTTGATTAAGAAACCTCCTTTCGAAAAGCTGGGCCAGCGTTTCTTAGCCAACTTGCCGGGAAGCTGGCTCAGTTTCTTGAGCGCGTTCGCCACTCCAGCGTTGACACAATAACTTGGCCAGGTTTGTCTTAAGAAATTTCCGGAAAGCTGGCCCAGGCTTTGTTAAGTGATGATTTTTGTTGATCCTATTCTCGGCTATATGAAAAGTCATCCCAGCTGCGGCAGACACGTTGCCCAGGTAACGATCCAGACTATAATACTGCAAGTGGCCCTGGCGGAGAGCGAATGACACGCTGCAAGCATATCATGATAGTTCGGCTGAACAAGAAAAGATCTCTCATGTAGTACCCCGAAGTCGCGGAGAAGTGTGATGGTGGCGGGCGAGGGGTGGGTCGCGGGTGGGTCGTGGGTGTGTCGCGGGGTGGGTTGCTTGGCGGGCCGCGGGCGGGTCGCGGGGTGGGTCGCGGATGGGTCGTGGGGGGTCGCGGGCGAGGACGACGACAACAATATCAATCATTTTCAGTCTGTTCGCTCTTTTCTGTTCGCGTGCCGTTCAGCATGTGTATCCCAAACCCTCGAAACCCGCCCTCTTCGTCTTCGATCGTGCCGCCATTGGGGCTATATCTCTCCTACCTGCCACGTGTAGTTGGCGCAGCCTCTAAAACATGGGAAGGAAGGGAGGAGGGAAGAGACAAGGGGGGGGGAAACTGGAGGATCACGAGAGATGGTTGCAGGAGGAGAGTGAGGAGCAGGAGTGCAACCGGCAGAACGAGACGGGGGGGTCGCGCGGGCGGACCCTGACGGGTAGGTCGGGCGGGCGGGCCCAGACGGCCGGGTCGAGCGGGCGGGTCGCTGAAGCGTCAATCCAGTATGAATCGAAAGGACGTTTGCGGGCGAGCGATGGCACGATCCCAAAGGAAGTCGTGAGGAAATAGAAGCGATAGCGTGATTCCTGAGTTTTGGGAGCATGGCGCCGCAATAATCCGTGAGGAAGCACCGCGCGAGAGCACAATTCCTGCATACACTCTGAGGCGTTTTTGTTGTTGTTGTTGTTGTTGTTGTTGTTGTTGTTGTTGTTGTTGTTGTTGTTGTTGTTGTTGTGGTTGTGGTTGTGGTTGTTGTTGTTGTCGTTGTTGTTGTAAGTCGGGTTCCAGGGGGGCAGCTTGAGGATTACGATTTTCCCGGATAAGAAAACAGACAGGGTGCGAGCCCTGGGAGGAGCACTTCCACGGAAAAAGCAAAAGGTGCTTCGGAGCTGAGGGATCAACAGTAATTGTTCTCTAGAGGTGAGAACTCACCGAGAATCCTGGCCACGGAATTCCCCTTTAGCCACGCACCCAGGCACGGTGCACGATCGCTCGGACCTTCACTCTGCTGTGTACATCGGGGGCGGAAAAGAGGGGGGTGATGACTAGGGGGGGTGGATATCATGGCGTGGGCCATGATATTTCCCCAGATTTCATGGCTCCTCGTCTTATTTCATTACGTCCCTGGCCCCCCCGCTGGGCCGCGCACATGCCGCCGGTAATTATTTGCCCCCCCCCCCCCCCCCCCTCTTGGACACCCCCCTCTTGGCCGCTCCCGAGTACAGTCAACCCGCATAGCAAGGATGAGCAACCTTCCCAAGGGTTCGCGCACAGGAACGTATTGCACACCCCAAACCTGTTGCAACCCCACAAATCTGTGTCACCAGATCTATTGCACCACCTCCTTTTCGCTGGACCCCTTTTTGGGTCAACGTGGCCAATGATCGCCGATAGGATCCCGATAGCCCCAACCTGCCCAGGAACGCGCGGATTCACCATCGGGAGCCTGTTGCCGATCTATCGGCGATGTATCGCCGATTCCAGGTCGATGTGCCCCCCCCCCATGCCAGTCCCACCCTATCGCTGCGGAGGAGGAGGAGGAAGAGGAGGAGGAGGAGGAGGAGGAGGAGGAGGAGGAGGAGGAGGAGGAGGAGGAGGAGGAGGAGGAGGAGGAGGAGGATGAGGAGGAGGAGGAGGAGGAGGAGGAGGAGGAGGAGGAGGAGGAGGAGGAGGAGAGGAGGAGGAGGAGGAGGAGGAGGAGGAGGAGGAGGAGGAGGATGAGGAGGAGGGTGCTCTTGAGATACGCGTGGTAGTGGCACGGGTGAGACTGTAGCACACCCAAGCTGCGTTCGCAGGCCGCTTCTCGCTCAGCGGTGTGCGAAGGAGCTGAGCCCAGACGTGGTCGCGTCGCAAAAAAATGACACCAGAGAAGACCCCAATCAGTGGATGGTTTGAAATCGGATCGATAAAGAGATCGATGAGAAGATCGACGGGGAACCCAGGAACCTGGGAACCCACTGAAATCGGCCTAGAACCAATGACCAGGAAACCGGGAGCCCAGAACCGGGAATCCGGGAACCCAGCCGGCAACCCAAGTTCGCGGGACACTTTCGCCAAATCTTCCCATTTCCGCTAGGATCCCCCTTCAGCACGACGGGAGGCTTTGGGCCATTTTGGGCCTCGGGGGCCCCTCGCCGACGCCCCAGGGACCGTCAACAAACGATTCATCAGGATGAAGCAACGCTCCCGAGGCAAGGGTCGGGATTTCCCGGGCCTGCGGGTTTTGGCCATTTTCGGCCTCCGGGGGCCCTCGCCGAGCCCCAGGACCGTCAGAAAACGACTCAGGATGAACAACCGGTCCTGGGGCAAGGGTCGGGACTTCCTGGGACTGCGGGTTTCAGCCAATTTCGGCTTCTGGGGGCCCTCGCCGATCCCCAGCAGTGTCAGAAAAGTCAGCATGAGAAACCGGTCCCAGGGCAAGGGTCGGGGTTTCCAGGGGGCCGCGTACGGAAAGAATTGAGACGTCGCATGTCTGGGAGTAGATGGGGAGGGGGTCGCGAAGTAGGCCGAAATTGTTCGCATTTTTGGAGGCAGTGCCTGTGTGTTTGCATCCCAGAGCTCCTTGCAGGCTCTACTTGCATCGCTTGTGGCGCCACAGACGCTTCTCAAAGTGATCGGTGAAAACCAGCCACTGTGAGTACGGTACCCACGGGAAGTCGGGAGCGGCCCCATCGGCGCGCACCTTAGGCAAAGCAGCTTGTCACAGAGGGACCAGCAAGGCAACTTTGCGCTGAGATCCCCAGGTGCGGGAGTGCGGCTGCGGATCGGCTTATTCGCGTCACTTGGCATTCCTGTAGCTCAGAAGCAGAGAGGTACCGATACCGCGACCTTCCCTCGTTTTCGCCTTGTTGGGCCTCCTGGGAGGCCCTTGGTGCCACGGCTGGATTCTCTTCGAAATTGAAGTCAGAAGGCACCCCGAGAGAGGTCCAGTAGTAGCGGTTATCGGTGGCTTTTCGCCCCCTTGTAGTCTCCTGCTTGTGCGTCGCACATCCAGTGCTGTGTAACCCCACTGGCTTTACAAACTTGCCAGTGCCTACGGAAAGGAGGGAGGACTGGAAGGGAGGGATGGAAAACCAGCGTCTCATTGTCCAACGTTCCGTCTCCCCTCGGTGATGAGAGCAGGTGATGTGCATGAGACTGAATGGCGACGCCGTGTTTCTCGATGTCACCATGCCCGCCTTCAGCCACGAGGTGTGTGCTGCGAGCCACCGCGCTGCGCCCCCCCCAGGTATTGCAGGGGGCAGGGTGGACGAAGGCGCAGCTGCAGCGGGCACTGCCCACGCCGACTCGCCTGACGTTGGTTGCGCTGTGGTCGGCGGGACGATGCTAGTACCCCTCGGTTGTTGAAAGTAAGTATTTGTGTGTGTGAAGTCCGCTCATATCACATTTATATCGTCATATACCGCGAACGTATCGGCTCAGGTATTGGTGCATATACCGCTCTGCTCTCCGCGCAGCGCCCAGGACAAATAGTAGCTAACCTCTTCCTCCGTCACCTCTACCAACGGACAATCGTATAGGACCGATTCCTCTGTCGTATCCCTATACGCACAGGTTACCAGCCTATTATTTTACGGTCTTCGCCGCTGCGACTCCGTCATCGTTGACACCGCCGCATGGTTCTGCATCCCTCGGGGCGCAGTGCCTATGCGCGCGGCGTCCTCGACAGCGCGTGGCCGCGGCGACACCACGGAGAGGGCGAGATAATCCGTGATACCTATTTCCCCCCTTTCAGGAGAAGGCAGTTCCGCATTTTTTGCGGCTGCTCATGGCGAGCTCGTGCCCGACTCACCGTTGCCGCCGCCCGCGCGCGTTCACACGCCTAGGAACTCTCATAATGTGTCGGCGCCTGATACGTCCACTGGAACGTTTCCTGGCGCCGCCTTTGATTGTTCTCGTGTGCCGGTGGGAACACCTGCTGTAGGGATTCGGAGCCACCGGTGGATTTGCCTCGCCTCCTTCTTCTTCTTCTTCTTCTTCTTTTTGTTCTCCTCGAACCTTCGCTGGTGGACGATGTGCCGGTGGGAACACCCGCAGCGGCGGCGCCAGTGAAACGTCTGCGCACAACGCCTGCGCGCGCCCCCGCCGCTGGGGTAAGGTCACGCCACCCACTAACGCGTGTGTGCCCGAATATCGAAGTCGATGCGCGCGACGTCCTCGGTGTCGACACGTGTATGGCTGCACCTGCTGTTGATCCAAACGTTCATGCGCCAGTTAGAACGCTCGCATCCCTACATGATACAAGCCCACCGACTCCGGCACATAACATCCAGGAGACGCAGATAATTTTCGACTGGTGGCAAATCGTGCAGGATTGCCAGAAGGACTTCTTTGAGCAGGTCTCCAAGGACTTACCCAAGGGTAGCTGGGACCGTACGCCGCGCTTCGGAAACACACACTACGGCGACTTCATCTACGCGCGTCGGTTTGGCACGCGTCGGTGCAGAGCCGCTGCCGTGCCATAGCCCGCCATCAAGCAGAGGACCCTCGTCTTGGAGAAGGGCCAGCTATTCGGTCCCATTAGAGACGTCGAACACAAAGGACCGCACGTCACTGTTTCGATTCCGTTTCGTGGCCATGGCTCCTACTGGGTCAACATCTGGTACTGTGACCACGGCAATGAACAATGCGGATTCAGATTCGCGGTGCCCCTTCGTGCCAATCTTCCGAAGGCGACTCTCGCTCACTTTCGTACATGGGACTTGGATGACCACCTCGGTTTATCCGACGATGACACAGTCGTTGATGCGCCGGTGGGAACACCCGCAACTCACGACGCACCCGTCGCCGTCGAGTACGATGACAACCGAGCCGTTGGATACGATGAGAAAAGGACAGTGACCACTACCCAAATCATCGGGGATCCCGAGGCAGTCTTTGGGACTCGATCGGAAGTTTCTGCGAGAGCGTCAAGAAAGATGGCCCTCGGACTTGCTACGCCAGACGTTTATTGAACGCGTTGTTCTGCGGGGTTGAGTAGGTCTGTGCTGTGAAGTGGGCAGATGACGAATGCCATTGCCCCAGTCGCCTCGACATCAAGTTCCGCGTCGACATTGGCACGCCGCACTACCGCGTGAAGTTCGACCCCCGCAGTCCACGGGCTCAGCAGTTGCCCAGCGCCCGCGGACACAACTGGTTTATCCGTGCGTTGATTCGGAGCATGGGTTGTACATATGATGATGAAGTTGTTCTTTTCATTTGGGGTCCATACCTGTCTGCCGTTATTATAATAGGCGCCACCAAGCGCTTAGTGAAGACATCACAAAACATCCACAACAACCATCCTGCCCTCGAGTCGCTGCGCAACTCATGGGCAGACAACGTGCTGACGGATATCAGATACGAGAGCTACTTGGGCGACCCCATGGAGGTAGTCATCGACTCCCTGAAATCCGGACTCCTTTGATCAGGCTGCCGCCTTTCCGAACCTTTGCAGGTGCCGAGGCCCTGGCCCTGACCCAGGCAGCGCAGCGTCCGCTGCTGCCCCAATCCAAGAACAGATCAGCGCGGCCCTGCGAACCGATTCTGATGACAATCTAGAAGGTGCCGAGAGGGAGGAGAAGCGGGCCGAGCTCCTCGCCAGGGCAGAGCAGATCACGGTTGAGCATCGTGGCGCGGCCTCAGCTCACCGCGCTCGCGAGACCCTCTCTGGCAGGGGACCTTTCCGATCCGACGACTGAGGAGGCATTGGAATCGCTGGCCGCCGATCTTGCCACCGATCGCGCTCATTTGATCCCGGATCGTTCTCTCCGTGATCTCGGTCGATCTTCGAGTGTTGGTGGGGGCGCCCGCGCCCGCGTGAAACAGCTCATAGTGGAAGGCGACAGGGAAATACAGACTGGAAAGCGCCGCTGCGACAGCTGCGACCGTGCTCCCCCTGATAACGTCGATGGTGGCACCTGCGAAATGTCCCGGGCGTCGCGTTTTTTTTTTTTTTTTTTTTTTTTTTTTTTTTTTGACGTTGACATTCGTTTCCAAGACGCGCGCTCCGATGGAGCGGAAGAGAGGAACTTCCTCCGCAGGCAGGCTGTGGAAGCAGAGGGGCGTCATGCCAAACGGCTCGCTGCTCGCCCACCATCTGCAGTGGCCTGCAGATTGGGCGGCGCAGATACGGGTGACCTGGATGAGGACGCGGTTCTACACCATCCGTGCGTGGTGCAGAGGTTCCAGGAATGGTCGCTCTTCTACGCTCAGATGAGACGGAAGGGTCGCCAAGCGTGAGAGGCCGTTCACGCTCGACGGCATGCGCCTCGCTGTGCAATATCATCGTGAAGAGCGCGGGGCAGGCGTTCGCTGGCCGTCAGAGGCAGGCCCCTGGAGCACTCAGCCGAGAAGAGCGTTCCAAGTGCGGGTTCGTCACTTTCTCCGCTCCCTCCGGGAGAGGACAGGGCGCGATGAACCGCGTTGCGCTGGCCGAGCTCCGCAGGCAAGTCCCCGGGGGCGCCGTGCAGGGCAAGGGGGGCGCTGGTTTGGCTTCTGTCGCCGACCCCATTCGCGCCCCGCCCCTTGCACCTCCACCCCGCGCCGCAATGTTCCCTCCGCGAGCGCTGCGTCCGTCATCTGGCGGCCCTGCCCGCGGCGTTGGCTGGGCTGGAGACGGCGGCTCCGCATCAGGCACGCGGAGACCGACTGCGCCTCCGAAGCGGAGCTCGCAGGGGGCGGCGCGCCGGGGGCGCGGCCGCAGTGCCGCGCGCCAGCGCCGCGTGCAAACGTCGTGGCGCCATGGCGTTGAACACTTCGAGCACGACGCGAACCGCTGCTGGTCCTATTGCCTGAGCGAGTGGATTTACATCGATGATAACGCTTGTGAATACATTCGACTGGATCACAATAGCGCGCGCGCGATTGGATGGTTTGACGAGCTTGGCAATCGCTTCTTGGACAATCGGTGCAACATTTTTAAATAACGTGAATAGGGCAATGACAATATTATCGGCACTCTGGTTGTTTCTGTGAGTTCTATCGCATGATACTATGGATCTTCTCTTGGCTACGCGTGCTCAATTGCATTATGTGACTTTGTTGCCGTGCATCTCCGGTGACTTACTGTTTCATCTCCCTCTCATTCTATTTCCATATTGATTGCTGCGACATCATGCGCTACGACCTGGCACTTGGGCATGCGCGTGCCCTGGCAGGTAACCAGCCAACAATACTATCGAACTTGACACAGTTTACTTTCATGAGAAGTCGGAAGCGCAGAGTACGTCACATGCAAAGCATAGCTCTCATGATATTCGCGATGAAATACCCGCCATCTATCATGTTGTCACATTGACCGTGCATGTGTGTATATAGATTTTTATTGCTATATATGTATGTATATATTTGCGTATGTGTGCGCATATATATATATATATATATAATATATATATTATATATATATATATATATATATATATGCCGGCGGAAGGGGGCCGGGGCCGCCAGGCCGGCATATGCGCCCCTCATGGCCGCTCCGGGGCTCCGGAGGCGCTCCTGCCCGGGCCAAGAGGCGGCCAAGACGTGCCGACGGAGGCGCAAGTGGCCCCCAAACCGGTCCTAGACGGCCCCGGGGCGCTCAAAGATCGCACCTGGGCGCTCGAGATGGCTCCCACTGAGCCCGAGAAGTCGCTGCGACGCCCCAAGTTGCTTTCCAAGAGAGCCCCGAGCGGCCAAAATCTTTGATTTTTGCGCAGGGAAGCGTGCATTTTTAGCATCTACGTCTTCGGTCTTCACGGCGTGCACGAGGGTGCAAGAGGCCCCAAAGACGGCCCCAAGACGGCCCGAGAGGCTCCCAACGCGGCCCAAGGGGAGCCCAAGACAGCCCCAGAGGCGGTCGAGGCGTGCTCAAGAGGCGGCCAAGACGTGTCCACGGAGCCCCGAGAGGCTTCCAAATCGGTCCAAGACGGCCCCAGGGCTCTCATAGATCGCCCCTGGACAACCAAGATGGCCCCCATAGAGCCCAAGAGGCCGCTACGACGCCCCAAGAAGCTTTCCAAGGGAGCCCCGAGCGGCCAGAATCATTGATTTCGTGGGATAACGTACATGTTTAGCATCTGCGACTTTTCGGTCTCCACGGCGTGCACGACGGTGCAGGAGGCCCCAAAGACGGCCCCAAGAAGCTACCAGCGCGGCCCGAGACAGCCCGAGGGGCGGCCATGGCGTGTCCAGAGGGCCCCATGAGGCCCCTAAAACGTTCCATGGCGGCCCCGGAGCGCTCAAGGCTAGCCCCTGGGCGCCCGAGACGGTTCTCGCTGCGCCCGAGAGACCGCGAAGACGCCCCAAGAGGCCCCCAAGAGGCTTTCCAAGAGGTTTTCCAAGTGGGTCCCAAGAGGCCCAACTCATTGATTTTGCATAGGAAAACTTGTATTCATAGCATCTACGATTTGTCGGTCTTCACAGCGGTGACGACGGTGCAAGAGGCCCCCGAGGGAGCCCCAAAACGGCCCAAGAGGCTCCAGAGACGTCCAGAGGGGGGGCCAAGACACCCCAAGAGGTCCTCAATGCGACCTAGGAGAGCTCCAAGACGGCTCCAAGAGGAGCCCGAGAGGGGGGGCCCGAACCGAAAGTCCGACCCTTCCGCCCCGAGAAGGTCCCAGGAGGCCCCAGGAGGCCCCTAAGAGGCTCCAAGAGGCCCCGAGAGATCCCCGCAATAGGCCAAACCCCGCGGGGGTTTATGGAGGGGGAGATCCTGATGCGCCAAGAGACCCACGAGGGGTCGGCGGGCTCAGGCCAGCCCGGTGCAAGTGTGAGCGGCATGAGTCGTTGCATCTCGCGGTGAACGTCGGTGCCGGAAGCGCATCCAAAATCCGGGATTTTCCCCCTCCCTTCCTCCGCTCAAATGTTTGTAGCTGGCGAACCCGCATCCTTGAGCATTCGTATGGTTTACAGTCCGAATATACATGCCATCGAGTCTCTGCTAAATTCTACATCTCTGAACTGATATTACATTTGATCTTAGTCAAGGGGATCCCCAATGTACGCAAAATCTCACACTCCTTCTACGCTCTAGGAAATTCTGTGCCGGGCAATCGCAGAGGGGACTGGCGGTGCCTAGAGCACGCTACACTGATGTCGAAGGTGTACGTCAGTACACGCCAGAGTGAAGATGCACATGAGTACACAGCACATTGCAGTTGAATTCGAATATACGTCGTAATGAAGTTGATGTCAGACTTGTCATGCAAAACAACTTGTGCTGTCTGACATCTTCCATTCTCGGAGCGAGATCTCTGTGATATCAGTGGCGCCCCAAGACATCCTGAAGTATAAAGCATACAGCGTAGTATGCAGAAACCATCCGGATCATCCATATCGGTGAACTTGCTCTAGCCGAACCTTTGAATACTCTCCAGGTCGGACTCTGAAAGTACACTCGGTCAATGTGATAACTGCTTGCAGGTAATGACCTTCTGGCTACCATGGAACTTCGCGATGCCCGTCGTGAATAAGTACATGGGCTGAGGAAATGCGCTTGGCTTCGTCAAAGCGTCGCTCAGCATCGCGTCTTTAGGAATACTTACTGTATATCGTACTCGTCCTGGCATCCATTCTTCTCTCAGAGCCATGAACTACCAATCTCTGTTGTCGATATTGAAGAACTCCTTTTAGTCCTGTCACCAGCTCGAACATGTCCTTACAGTCTGTGAGATGATCAATCGGCAATGCGTTCTGGCCGGTGTTGCTCATCTTGATGAGTACTGCAATCATCTGCTTAGTCGTGCACTTCAGAGCAGCGTGCATCTCGGTCAGCCTCATGGCCACCATCTCAGATTCCGAAGCCACTGCCAGTCCACAGTTGAACTCACCCATGGAGGTCGAATGTGCCACTTTCTTAGCTTTGCTGCTGACAGCCGTCAGTGCATGACATCTGCCTGTTAGTGCCGTGGCGTCGCGAAGAAGATGAGCACTGTCCACCTGAAGCTCCTTGTCCTCCACCAGTAGCACGAATTGGCTTTCTTGAGGATAGACCGAAGTCTTTGTCGTATGATTGGCGTCGCCCACCGCTCGCAGACAGAACGGGGGTACCAGAACCGGATAGTGTAATCCAACTAGAGTTGTGCCACTCTGGGCTCGCTTGAGTAGTGCATTCGCTCTCTTGAGGTGTACTATCGTGGGCTCGTTGTTGAAATCCTGCGACTGCGTCGCCTCTGTCAGGATGCTCCTGAACCCGTGAGCGTGTACCCCCGTCACCTTTTTGCAATCAACTCCTTCGGGCACTTGGCAGAGGGGTATCTTGATCAGGTGGTCGATCTGCTGCAATAGTATGGTGCCGTTCTTCAGTCGGGAGTGCTGTGCGCCATTGTGGGTGAAAAGGCAGCTGTTGTCTTTTCACCGCTCCGAACTTGGCCTCCAGTAGTCCACGGAAGTACTCGATGTGGCCCGCGTGTCCCGTCGCCAGAAGGTCGTCAACGTGAATAGACAGAGCTGCGGCCACATCATCAATGGAGCGTGCCTCTTGCACTTGGTCTCGGATCTTGTTTGGTAAGTCGGCATCTGTCCAGTGAACAAAGTTTGCGTCCCACAGGCTCACCTTGGCACGAAGAACATCCAGTAAGTATAGCGTCAGGGCCACTTGCCAAGGGTGAGGTGCATCAACCAGTCCATGCATTGGCTTGAGTAACTCTGAGACAAACAGCTCGACATCCCATTCTGTCGCGTGGATCTCGCCGCCCAGAATCTTGTCCAGTAGACGCCGGACATTTGCCGGGGGAGCTGGGAACACCTTCCGCACCGTCTCGCAGTTGATCTTCAACTCCTTTGCTCGACGCCTGAGCTCCTCAAAGCTCAAGCCTTGCAAGAACGCTGTGCTGATGTCCTGGCTCTCGAGCTCGAAACCTTCGTGAACCTGCGCGGTCGAGACGATGAGCTTCTGGCTCAGCCTGCTTGCCGTCCTCGAATGACGCTGGATCTCGTGCTTCTGCTTGTCCAGAAACCCGCGCCCGCGCAGTCTGCTCTTGACGATCCACTTCTTCAACATGTCGTCGTACTTGCACTTCTGGACCCATACTGCATCGATGAGATTGTTGCTGCCCATCGCGCGCCTCGTCTGGCATGCGAAGACCTTGCGGTCGACAGAGGCCCCCAGCTCTTTGAGGTTTCCTTCTTCTACTTCCTGCCAGTGGGTCAGGGCGTCCTCGTCTCCTCAACGCCGACGCGGCTCTGAACCTCGCCAGTGCGCAGACAGGAAAAGAAACGACTGCATTTTTTCCATGGGCCTTTTTATCGTCCATAGAGCCCGAGAGGAACTCCGCGGAAGCTCGCCCGTCTGAATGCTTGTCAGATGTGAGTGTGACTCCGCGTGGTAGTCGAGGAGGTTTGAGATAGCAGCGTCAATGTAGGACTCCTTCAGCTTGTTGATCATCATGTCCTCTTCGCCGTTGCGCCAGTTGATCACGCTGTTGAATGTGTGGTGACGATTGAAGAGATCACCATCTTGTAACGGTATGTTATCTTCTGTCTCCGTGTCCTTCTCAGTGCGATCCATGATGTTGCTGAGCTCCTTCTCCAGGTCGTCTGTGGTGTTCTGCTCAGGTGCAGGCGCCAGCTGCTCAGAAGGTGCCTGCTCCTGCAGAGGTGGATGAGCATCAGCAGCTGTAGGATCTTGAGCCACTGGTACTTGTTCATGATCTGCTGGCGGAATCTGCTCAGACTGCCCCATCTGGCCAACGCGCTGTCGAGGATGCCTTGGTTCCAGGCTGATCGTGCTCGTCTCTGCCACATCCTGATGCGAACGCTGGTCATGAGCAATCCTATCGTCTGCAACTGCATCACCGGATCGAGCAACTTGCTTGTCTGCCTGTGGTGCTGGCTCGGCGTGCCGAGAGCGCGAGCGGTCCTCGGTAACGCTGTCAGGAGAAGCTTCAGCTGCTTGCATGTCCCAGTCGCGCTGGAGTATGTCGCTAAGCTCACCAGTAAGGTCCACATCGCTGGTCTCAGGTGCCGGCAATGGTACCGACTGCACTGGAGCTTGTTGTTGTAGCGGTGCCTGTTGAATCAGAGTAACTTTGCAGTTATACGAGCGCGTTTTGCGGAGCAGGAGTGGGTCGGGCCGCCTTAACCGTTTGGGCTCAAGGCGTAACGGAGGGAGCGGTCCGCGCGGGGCGCGGATGTGGCAGCTGGCGCTGGGAGGGGCGGTCGACGCGACCGTCGCGTGCCTCCATCGGTGCCCCGCTGCGCCCGAGTGTCCGAGCTGCTCCTTGACCTGTCCTGCCTGCCCTTCGTTCACGTGCCTTCCGCCAGCCGCTGTCAGCTGCCCGGCGTGCCCTGCGCTGGTCTGACCCACGCTGGCGGCGGAGGCGGCGCGCGCCGCGCCCGAGGGGCGCGCGGAGGCGCCGCGCTCGTGCCCCGCCTGCGCTACTTGCGAGCGTTCGGCGGAGCCTGAGCCGCGCGACGCCTGGCGTGCCTTCTTGCGAGGGCTGCTGGGCGGTGCCGTTGGCGGCGGGCTGCTGACGCTGCTGCTCGTGAAGGTCGTGGGCCATGGAGTGGGGTTGGCTGAGATACGTCGGGGGCGACCTGGTTCATCAAAGGTGGGTTTCCGGCCGCGTGGCGCTATCGGCTCCTGAGTATGTCGGTGCCGCGCCGGACGGCGACACGCACGTTGAGAAGTACGACGACAATCGTAATGAAGATGTGGACCTGGTTCGGTGGAGCGCGAGATGGAACGACGTGCCCAACGGCGTGAATCCTGCGCGGGTGCACAGCTTTCGGGAGGAGCCAACGGCGGTGGAGAAGCATGTGTTTCTTCGAGATGCTGAGCTGCTGGCCGATCATCGCTGTCGCATCGTGGCGGCCGCGATCGGGCGGCCCGACCTGCTCGCGGCGCCGGGCTTCCGCGCGCTGGTGCCGGGCGGACCGGGCGGGGCCGCCCCCGCCGCGGCGGCGGCGGCGGCCGGGCCTGTGGCGGCTGCTGGGCCTCGCCCAGGGGTGCTGCAGGGCGTGGCGCCTCGGGCGGCGGCGGCGGACGCTGGCGCGCGCTGGCGGGCGGCGCAGTCGCTCGGGGACGCGGGGCACGGCGACGAGGTGCCTGGCCATGTGGCGACGGCGGCCGCGGTGCGCGGGCGTGACCTCCACACCCTCGGGGACGGCAGTGCCCTGTTCGTGGAGGAGGTGCCGGCGGCCGAGCTCGAGGCGTTCATGGGGCGCGCCGTGGCCGCGGACGCTCGCGTGATGCCCGTCATGCGTACGGGCGCCCGCCGCGAGGTAACGTGGTCCGTCATGGCCGCCCGCGTGCGCGAGGAGGATTTCGGGCGCGACTGGCTGGTGACGGGCCCTCGCACGGCGTTTTGGTGCATCGAGTTCATCAACAATGAGGGGATGGGCATCGACGTCACGATCGGTTTCGGGCGGTGGCCAAGCTCGAGCCGACGCAGTGGGGAGTGCAGGAGCACTTCCAGTGCACGCAGTACATCCGCTTGCTGTTGCTCTCAGACCAGTGCGACGGCACCAACATGCAGGCCTTCGAGGCCATCTTCCGACGCATGCAGACGTTGAATATTCGTGCTTGGAGACGGTGAGGGAGCGAGAAGGGGCCAACCAGAGCGGGAAGTTGTCGATCGAGGAGCAGACTCACTTTGCCGGCTCGACTCGGATTTCGTCCAGCTTGACGGTGTGCCCCGACATGCTGGAGTTCGTACGTAAAGAAGTTGAACGCGAAGCTGCCCTGGCAAAGAACCTCCGTAAGGCTCGTGAAGAGAAGGAGGCGCTCAATAAGGGCAAGAAAGATGGTCAAGGTTGAGGGGGCATGGAGCGCCCCCTTCGTGGCTCCCGGTTGCCAGGCGACCGGGGGGCGCCTTCGCATGGTCAATTCGAACGCTCTTCCCTTGGCCGTGATGGGCCTGCTCGTCTGGTTGCCCGCAGTCCTCTTCCTCTGCCAGTGCCGCCGGTCGCCTCTGAGCGCCCTGCCAGTGGTGGATTTTTGTCGCGGGGATGCCGTCAGCGGGTTCAGCAGCGTCATGCTCGTGACCTCGACGTTCGGAGGGCGGTGGTCGCCTTAAATTCATTGCATCACTCTCCTGGCGTTGTGCCGGGCGGAGGGGGTCAACTCAGTGGGGGGCCTCTGTCGCTGATGCAGCAGCGCATCATGGAGCACGTGCGCGACTCAGTTGGAGCGCTGGGGGCTCCACCGGCAGGCGTCGACACCTCGGAAACTCTGCGGAGGCTTCGGGCGCCTGGCTTCTACGGTTCCGACGAGGGCGTGAAGCTGGGGAACTACAATCCCGAGCTGCCCTCGCTGCCGTCCGTGGGGAGCCATGCGGTTCCACTCGCGGACCTGCGGGGTGCAGGCGGGCGCAGGCGCGTCGCGGAGTTCGCCCGCGATAGTGTGCTACCTGCGGGGCCGGCGCTGGAGAGGAAAAAAGATGCGCGGCGCGGGGGCGCCCTATTCTGACCCAGCGCTTCGCCAACCGCGTGTGTGGAGCGATTTTGTCTCTCGGCTTCATCGCAGCGGCCTGCTAGATTTCGCCTGCGACCGCGGCAGAGAGTCCGTGGATTTCTTCTGTGTGCCGAAAATACATCAACGGTTGAGACTTGTGTGCGATTGTCGTCGCAGCAACGTCTGGCTTCGTGAGCCTGATAACGTCGCGCTTTGTACTGGAGAGACCCTTGGGAGCCTCGAGGTCGGTGAAGACGAGACGCTATATATTTCAGAAGCTGATCTGTCTATTGCATTCTACCACCTGCAGCTGCCTGTCGAGTTGCGGAATCTGTTCACCCTTAGGCGTGTTCGTGCTCGCGATATCGGTTTGACAGAGATCGACGGGGTGCCGGTGCACGACGGGGCGTGGGTGTACCCAAGACTCCGTGTGTGCCCTATGGGGTGGACCTGGGCATTGTGGTGGTGTCAACGTGTGCATGAGAGATTGGTCGAGCGGTGTGGAGGGCGACCCGAGGAGCGGTTACAGGACCGCCGTGTCATTCCCCCTCTCCCGGGTGCCTGCCATCTCGAGTATGTCGACAACTTCGTGGCTACTTCGATTGTCACCTCCGAGGTGCATCGCCTCGCGTCCGCCGTCGTTGAGGGATTCAGGGAGGCTGGGTGGGTCGTGGCCGCCGATGTCGACTCGCCCGGGGAGGACCTCGCTCGTGACCGCGCCGTCTTGGGATGGGACATTAGCTGCCGGGCCGCCGTTCTGAGGCCCACTCGGGCCCGTGTCTCGAGAACCCGCCTATGTGTCCGAGCCGTGCTTAAACGCTCTCCCGGAGCACGTGCCCGCAACTCCCCCGCGTCTGACCCCCCCCCCATCCGATTTCTCCTCCTCCTCCTCCTCCTCCTCCTCCTCCTCCTCCTCCGCTTGCTTCTGCCCAGACTTTCTCGGGTCCCGACCCGCGTCGCGAACGCCTCCTGACGAGAGGTTCACCGCCGCCGACGGCCCCCAGGAGCTCTCGAAGGGCCCTGGCGTTGTAAAAAGAACCCCCCCGCGGCCCGCCCCCCGCGCGGGGACGGCGACGACCTCGACGGCGACGGCGGCGGCGCCGCCGTCGTCGTCGTCGTCGTCGCCCTTGCCGTCGTCAGCGCCGCCGCCGTCGTCGTCATCATCGTCGCCGCCGTCGTCGTCGTCGCTTCCGCCGTCGTCGTGCTCGTCGTCGCAGGCGCCAGTCGAGCGCCGATCAATCGAGGATCGAGATTCGACGAGGTCTTTCGGTTTTCGGCCCCCGGGGGGCTTTTTGGGCGGATTTTCGTCGATCAGAGAGCAGCGCGAACGCCGAGGGCGCTAAGCAGCGCGAGCGCTAAGGACGAGCTCCGTTATGTTTTGTCCGAGTCTTCCGTCGGTTTTTTTTCGGGCGCGTTTTGACGTAGTTTGATTCGATTTGTCCTTGACCTCGGCTAGAACCAAAGCGCGCGCGAAGCGCGCGCGAATATTCTATTATATATATATTATACATTATTCATTCATTTATTTATGTACTTATTTTTATTTATTCCCCACATCCAAAGTGGGGTTTTTGTTTTCTCTGGACGCCCCGCGCAGGAACAGGAACACACACACACACTCACACTCACTCACACTCTCTCATCATCAACCTCATCAGCATCATCGATGATGCTCTCTCACATGCTTAGTCACTCACATACTCATTATCATCATCACTCGCACTCTCTCAGACGCTCACGAACATCATCATCATCATCATCATCGGCATCGGCGTCATCCTCCTTCAAACATCATCATCGCCACCACCACTCACAATCAATCATCATCCTCTTCACCACTCATTTTCACCACCACTCATCATCCTCATCCTCATCATCGTTGAGTAAATTGTGAGGAAGTCTCAGGCGGGAGCCCCCTCCCTATGGGGCCCGCAGATCATGTTGGTAATCCGAGCGGGTCATCGGAACCTGTAACTGTCGTCACTTTTGGGCTCCCCAGGCCTGAAAATGGAGGAAGTCTCAGGCGGGAGCCTCGTCTGTGAGTGAATTGGGAGGAAGTCTCAGGCGGGAGCTCCCTCCCTATGGGGCCCGCAGATCATGTTGGTAATCCGAGCGGGTCATCGGAACCTGTAACTGTCGTCACTTTT